CAGAAATCTGTTGCTTTCCTATACACTAATGATGAACTAGCAAGAAAAAGAAATCAGGAAAACAATTCCATTCACAATTGCATCAAAAAGAATAAAATACCTAGGAATAAACCTAACCAAGGAAGTGAAAGACCTATACCCTGAAAACTACAAGGCACTCTTGAGAGAAATTAAAGAAGATACCAATACATGGAAATACATCCTGTGCTCAGGATAGGAAGAATTAATATTTTCAAAGTGGCCATTCTGCCTAAAGCAATCTACAAATTCAATGTAATTCCTATCAAAATACCAACAGCATTCTTCAATGAACTAGAGCAAATAGTTCTAAAATTCATATGGAACCACAAAAGACCTCAAATAGCCGAAGCAATCCTGAGAAGAAAGAATAAAGCTGGGGAAATTACACTCCCCGACTTCAAGCTCTACTACAAAGCCACAGTAATCAAGACAATTTGGTACTGGCACAAGAACAGACCCATAGACCAATGGAACAGACTAGAGAGTCCAGATATAAAACCAAGCATATATGGTCAATTAATATACTATAAAGGAGCCATATATATGGAATGGGGAAATGAGAGCTCTTCAACAACTGGTGTTGGCAAAACTGGACAGCTACATGGAAGAGAATGGAACTGGATTATTGTTTAACCCCATAGATAAAAGTAAACTCGAAATGAATCAAAGAGCTGAATGTAAGTCATGAAACCATAAAACTCTTAGAAGAAAAAAAGGCAAAAATCTCCTGAATATAAACATGAGCAACTTTTTCCTGAACACATCTCCTTGGGCAAGGGAAACAAAAGCAAAATGAACAAATGGAACTTTGTCAAACTAAAAGGCTTCTGTATAGCAAAGGACACCATCATCAGAACAAAAAGGCATCCTACAGTATGGGAGAATATATTTGTAAATGACTTAGCCTACAAGGGGTTAACAACCAAAATATATAAAGAACTCATACACCTCAACAACTAAAAAGCAAATAACCTGATTATAAACTGGGCGTAGGAAATAAACGGACAATTCTCCAAAGAAAAAATTCAGTTGGCCAACAGGCACATGAAAAGATGCTCCACATTGCTAATTATCAAAGAAATTCAAATTAAAACCGCAATAAGATATCCCTTTACACCAGTTAGGATGGCCAGCATAAAAAAGACTAAGATCAACAAATGCTGGCAAGGATGCAGAGAAAGAGAAACCCTCCTACACTGCTGGGAATGTGAGCTAGTTCAACCATTGTGGAAAGCAATATGTAGGTTCCTCAAAAAACTGAAAATAGAATACCATTTGACTCAGGAATCCCATTCCTAGGAATTTACCCAGAGAATACAATTTCTCAGATTGAAAAAGACATATGCACCCCTATGTTTTTTGCAGCACTATTTACAATAGCCAAGATATAGAAGCAACCTAGGTGTCCATCAGTAGATGAATGGATAAAGAAGTGGTACATGTATGCAATGGAATGTTATTCAGCCATAAGAAAGAAACAAATCCTACCATTTGCAACAACATGGATGGAGCTGGAGGATATTATGCTCTGTGAAATAAGCCAGGCAGAGAAGGATAAGCACCAAATGATATCCCTCATTTGTGGAGTAAAACAATGAAACAAAACTGAAGGAACAAAACAGCAGCAGACTCACAGACTCCAAGAAGAGATTAGTGGTTACGAAAGGGGAGGTGTGGGGGAGGGTGGGTGGGAAGGGAGGGAGAAGGGGATTGAGGGGTGTTATGTTTAGTACATATGGTGTGGAGGATCACAAGAAAGAGTGTAGCACAGAGAAGGCATATAGTAAATTGTGGCATCTTACTACACTGATGGACAGTGACTGCATTGGGGTATGGGGAGGGACTCGATAATATGGGTGAATGTAGTAACCATATTGTTTTTCATGTCAAATCTTCATAAGAGTATGTATCAATAATACCTTAAGAAAAAAATTGTAATAAAAAAATTATAATACTCAAAGTGTAGAAACTACACCAAAATGATAACTGAGGTTACCTATAGAAGTTGGCAGTATGGTTGTTATGTATATAAGTGCATGCGTGTGTGTGTGTATAAATCAGGAAGAAAGTTTTTTTTAAGAATAAGGAAGAAAAAATTTTTTAAGTTGTCAGTAATAGTCTTAGCTTCTCCTATCAGTGTTTTTTCATCCAAGTTCGGGGCGTGTGACACACAGCAAGTCTCCCACCAGGTCATAAGGAAAGGTGGCAGGTGTCTCAGTCTTGGCTCTAGAAACAAGCATGCCAAGCCCTGGCAGAGACCCATGTGCCCTGCAGGATGATCAAAAATGTCCTCACTTTTGCAGAAGTACATTTAAGGATTCCAGACTTTTAGTTTATATTTATATAGCCCAGCGTTTCCCATTTTATGTACCTTGGGTCAGTAATACGACAGCGTGAAGGAATTCCTGGATAAAGGTTACCATATTCAAACAAGTTGGGGGAAGTTCGAACGTATCTCAGTTTTAACAAATTAAAAGGAGTTTCCCCATGGAAGGATCCTCCAACAGGGGCATATAGCATGCATGATTACCCAGATGAAAACCTATTTTGGGCCTGTCTCAAGGAATGGCAATTCTACAGATCTGGGGTGTCTGGGGAAGTGCAATCGTTATCTCTTCCACCTTCTAGTCTGTGGTTCTCAGTCCTGGCTCCACACTGGGATCACCTGGGCAACCTTAAAAATATCCCTCAGTCTGGGTCTTGCCCTGAATTTGGTCTGGGATGCAGTCAGAGCCAGGGCTGAGGACCACTTCTTTCTCACACACTCTAAGTTGTCTGCACTAAGAAGAGGTCACCACCAGGTTGGATCCAGCCATTTTTAAAGTTAAATGGCACCTTGAAGGACACCTCGTTTAATCTGGGCCCCAGACCTCTGGACCACAGGATCCCTCGTTCAGGGGAAGAAGCAAAGGAAACTCAAATCTCCAAGGCCACTTTGCTACCAGAGGTTGCCCATCAGGGCCTTCTCCCTGGCAAGGGGACCCTGACACACTGAGAGCCTGGCTCCAGTCCTCGTCGATGCTATCTCAGACGGAGGGTGAGAAGCCAGGGGACCGCTGGCACAGGGGGATAGGAAGCCTGCGCTGGCAGTGGGCAAACACACGCATGCGGTCTGAGGCTGTCGGTGCAGAAGGCAGGGCCCTTCTGTCCTCTGGTGCTCCACCTCCACCACAGGAGGGCTGAAAGACTCCGCCAGACACAGGACCTTTAAGGCCGAGTGTGCCGGCCCTCTGGGTGGATGGCCTTGGCCCCTACTACTCTCTTCTGACAACACTCCTTCCTGTTCCTGAATGGGGAATTTTATAGTAAAAAATCCACATGTTCTGGTTCTACATCCTATACATTTAATCGCTCCTCTTTTTCAACCTTAGGATTCCGGTAATTCTTTCTCTTAATCATCTTTGAGGAAAAAAGAAAGCCTATGAGGATTGGAGAGGGTGTTATGAGGAAGAGGGTGAAACACACACACACACACAAGCACGAACAGACCCCTAGTCTCATAGGTACCCTTCCCTGAGCCCCAGCTCCAGTGTCCCAGTCTGGACACTGCCAGCACATCCTCGCCTACAGGGAACTGTTCTCCCAGAGACCCTCCAGCCCACAGAGGACTCTAGGCACTCTTCTAAATGCCAGACTAACGGCTAAACGCCCTGAGAGATATCTCCAGTGAGATTCAATCTGCCCTCTGTGCGTGGGAAGTGGGGAGGAAGCAGACAGGAGAACCCCTGTGGGTTCCCATCCGAGTGGCCAACGCACACCAGGGCAGGACAACTGACACACACAGGGCAGAACTGCAGGAGCAGATCGGCAGGGGCTGCAGGCAGCTTCTACCTGGAAGCAGAGCTAATCGGCAGCCAGTCCCTTTCCCCAGGCTGCACATGTGTTTTAGTTGAACTGCCTGGGTCACATTTTCAGAGTCTGTCTTTTCTGCTTGTTGATGTGCATGAGCAGTATCAGTGGAAAGGTGATGTTCACAGGGTCCCTGGCTTCATGAATGGCATCCCAGAACAACCAGCATCCCACAGCTGCCTTGTGGTCCTGCGAGGGGGGACACTCGGAGGCGGGCACTGGACCCCTCCTTACCAGGCCCGATTCAATTCTACCGTAGTAAATGTAAGGCATTACTTTTAATATTCAAACATGGCTAAGCTATAGAAGATAGCACAAAATTCATGTGCATTTTTCCGGGAAATAAAGTGACTTGAAAGGCGACTCACCCCTCAGAGGCTTTAAGTGCCCAACGGAATCCCTGCCCTGTGGACTGGATGGTGTGTGTCTCCCGACCAGTGGATTACCGCTCAGCCAGGGTGTGCGGTCCGAATGAAAGCCCTCCTATTACGGTCTTACCCGCCACCATAGGCAGCAAGCTGACTGCTGCCCCCAGCCCCTCAACCCGTTCTAGGTGCGGAAATGAAAGCCGCCGCCACCCCACGCACGCAAACTTCGGGGAACAATTCAGGTTCCCGGAGGCCGCGTAGGCTCCGCGCGCTCAGGGAGGGTGCACGCCGCCCGCGGACACCTGTCTGGCCCACCCTGTCCCCACCCACCATTCCTACCATGTCCCCCTGCAGAGCTGGACCCGCTGCTCGGCGCGCTCAGCCGGCTTGCCAGCTCCTCTCGCCGCCCCCAGGCCGCCGCCGGCGCCGTGTTTCTGCAGGCTTCCCCAGGCTCGGGTTTCTCTGACTGAAGGTCCAAACCTTCCTAGCGGCCAAGTGACCCCGCGACACCTCCGGGGCGGGCGATGCGCTCGGGGATGCTATGGGATGGGGCTGTTAGAGGAGGTCTGCGGGCCTGCGGGATCTGCGGTTTGCGGGAACCAGCCAGCAGCCCCCTCCCTCCGCGATCAGCTTAGGGACGCTTGCAGAGTTTGCAAAGCCCTGGCCGCAGGTCCCGGCCCAGCCTCACCACTTCCCCGAAAGCGCGGGAGGGGGAGCTCCTTTCACAATAAAAGCCCTGCCCGGGGCTCGGGCGACCGGAGGCGCCTGGAGATGGAGCCCAGGTGCTAGGAAAAGGCTGTCGCGCACGCAAGGTGATGCTCAGACTCCGGTGGCGAGGGACGCAGATCAGAGCTCCTCGCCTGGAGACCTCCTCCAAGGTGTGCTGGTGTCGGTGAGCCCGGGGCAATGCGGTGGGGGCTGAGGCGAGGACCGGAAGGAAGGGGAAGTGGGGGGAGTGGGGGTGCTGCTGAGGGTAGCCAGAACTACCGCTCTCCCCTGCAAAGCCTCGGAAAGACAAGTCTTCTTCACTGGCATCTCACCGCCTTATTTGGGCTCAGACCCCAAGGGTGGTTTGGAAGCAAATACAGAAAGAGAATCTTTTGACCACTTAAGGTCATCACAATGAACAGTTTGTCTCCTTGGGACCTAATCAGTGTTTAAGTCGCTGTTTTAAGCGGCTATAGGGAACCCTGTTGTGGCATGCTCTAAGGCTCTGCATGCTCTTTTCTGGAGAGAGGGCTGGGCTTGGAATCCAAAGCCCTGGAATTGGGGGCTGGCCTTCTGTTAACAGCTAAGTGACCCTTAACCAGTGCCTGAACATCTTTGAGACCTGTGTCCCTAAGAAACCCACTGTTTGGATCTCAGAATTCCTAAGAGCCTATAGGCAGGAAGATGGACGTGGGGGCAGAGGCAGCAGTAGAGTGCCCTGAGAGAATCTGGGAACTAGGCTTAAAAATTACCCTTCAAGATTAAAACCAACAAGAATCAGTATTAGATGGGCAGAAACTGGCATCTTCCCAGGAATCACCTGCTGCCAAATTCTTTGAGGTTGTCACTGATGGCAGTGTTCCTAAAGGGGAACAAAGATCCAGAGGGTCTCCCTATACTGAGTATGGGGGAGGGGGGCAGATCAAAGGGAAAGTGTATTTTCAGTCCTTATATTCCAGATGCTTTCCCTGGCTCATTTCATTTCATCATCACAAACAATCCTGAGAGAAAATTCTTATCACCATTTTACAGATGAAGACACTGTGGGTTAGAGAGTTGAAGTCATTTTCCTGAGGTTAGATGGTAAGTAGTTGAGCAAACCAAACCTATTTGCTAGATCATGAAAGGAAGAGAAAGAAACTGATAAGCCAGTACTGGGAGGCAGGAGGCAGTGCTGAAAACTGCAGCTCAGAGACAATAGAGAATTTGAGCACTGGGTGAGGGAGATGATGGAGGGGGTGGGGCAGTACATGTCCTAACCAACATTTGGGAGACAGCATGGTCTTTTGAGTTCCTTCTCTTGCTGTGACCCACATAAAGTGTACATTCTATGTTGTGACCCATTACACAAATTTACACAAACATATTTGCACAAATGTAACTAAAGCAAAGTTTTATAAAACATCATTACCTGTGATGTACCTCTCATATTTTCTATTCTATTTCATTTTAATGATCGTCTCAAATTACTAACTTTATTTTGTTAATGTCCAATAATAAGTACAGTTTGAAAAACACCATAGAGAGAGTAAAACAGAGATAATTCTTTAGATTAATGTTCTTAAAGGGTTTTGTGATGTTCTGCAAAATATATATGTTATATATAAAAATAATTTGAAAGGCAGGAATTCTGTTGGTAAAGCTGGAGAACACTGAGAACAATTGAACAGATTTTTTTTGCAGTAGGACCTGTCAGAGCCTTTAATGCTAATATGCATTGAGATTTCCTGAGACAGGAGGAAAGTGCCTAGTTCTTCCCAGGTTTGCTGGATTCAGAGTACTTTTCCAGAGGAATCAGCTCAGATGACTCAGGGGACACCCTTGGGAAAGTCTGCTCGAGGACCTGACCCAGCCAAGTGCAGTCACACAAGAACAGAGTCAAAAGTGCATATTCTGAGACCAGACTCCCAAACTCAGTACCATTTTGTTCACCTGATACTCTGCTCAGCAAGAAGGTGCCCAGGTGGTGAGTGTAGGCACTCCATTTGTAAATGAGCTGCCACTTTTATAACCTAGATTGAACATGAGCCATCAGGACTCCAAGAATGACCACAGCTGGGTGAGCAAATAAAACTGAGCTCTGGACCTGCCAAGCTGAGGACACCCCTAAACTCCACCTGCCCTTCACAGGATCCTGCCTAGAAAAACCAGCTTATCTTTGGTTACTAACTCCTAGTTGATGGTAATCCTTCCAGCTCCGAAAGCTTATAATTCAGACCACTGGTCCATATCATGCTACAGATGACCATTTTCTTCTCAAAAACATCCTCCTCCATAGAGTCATTCCCGTGCTTGTGATCGTGACCCAACATGTCCATAATGCTGACAGCTTCAACATGCATTTTTTCACTCCCTGTCCCACTGTTTGCTCACTCTCCACGCTTTCATCCAGGGAACATTTGACATGCACCCTGTGTTTGGTGTTAATGTCAAGAACAGGTAAGAGGTACCACCACATTAGAAAGCTGTCTGGGTATCTACTAACGCCAAGTATGCATGTGCCCTGTGACCCAGCAAATCCCAGTCCTGTACACAACAGAAATGCCTACACCATGTTCACCAAAAGCCATGTACAAGACAGTTCACAGCAGCATTATTGCTGTGGTCCCAAACTGGAAACAACCCAGATATCATTAACAGCAGGAATAGTAAGTAAACTGCAGTGTATTCACACAGCGGAGTGCAGTGGAAATTCATGAACACCACCACACTCAAACATTCTACAGAAGGAGAGGCGCTGGCCATGCAAAAAGGCCCCGTGTATGATTCCATTTCTACAAACCACACAAACAGGCAATGCTAATCTCTGCTGAGAGAAGGCAGCTGGGTGGGTACTGGGGGGAAGGTCGTGACTGAGGAGACTTGAGGGGGCTTTGTGGGGCTGCTGGTGTTTTGTTTCATTACAGATGAAACTTGATCAAGCTGTAAGACTTGCAATGTGTGCACCTCTCTGTATATATGTTAAACTTGTATATATGTTAAATTTTAATAAAAAGCTACATAAAGCAAAAATTAGCACATACTGTCTCTAGCCTCAAAGGACTCATAATCTATACCAGCAGGCTCCAAACGTTTTTGATGATTCATCTCAGCAGCAATACAATTTGAGTATATCCTTCACTATGGGCATTACATATTTATAAGTACTCAAGTGTATCATCTTATTATTTACCTATTACAAAACATACAATGACTGGTAATTGTAGGTCTGCTTTTGTTATGTAGCTGTATTCCTATTATGTTAATGTGTGTACACAATTTAATCAGTAGTTTGTTAAAACCTATACATGCTTATGTTACTCTACAAGAAGATATGTCAAAGAAATAATCAATCTTCCCATGTTTTCTTCTGTCTGCTACTTCTATAGCTTTTCTTCTTCCTTCCTAATTACAACCCTTTAGTAGAATTTGTGCCTCATATAGAAAATTACC